TTAGAAAAATTAGAACATGCTAATCTGAAAGCTAAATAGCCGTAAAGCACACCATATTCCACCATTTATCACTGGTGGTAGGACCTCTTGTGAGTCCGCACGGGTAGGTACCACCACCCCGCCTATTTCTGCCGTGAAGCAGTAATGCGTTTCGGTTTGAACGGTGGGGTAGCTGTTGTAACTATACTGAGACCTTAGAACTTATATCTCTAGGTGGGTGGCGCATTTACATTATAGATGTCTATGGGCTCCAGTAACCACTTAACACCAGGTGGGCTGTGAGCTCGTCCACCCACCTAAGCAATAAAAAAAAAATCACCATTAATCTGTACTTTATTTTCTTTAGCATAAGTTTTTTAGTTCAAACATAATTTATTTGGATATATTTTTCAAAGTGAAAATCTTACTTACCATTACCAAGGATTACAAAATGTATTAATATTTTAATGATACCTCAACCATTAAAACTTGAAATTCCCCAAAAATCAAAGTTCATGTTGAAGTTATAATATTTATATAAATATATATTTCAGTAACATCGCTTAAATAATTAGGTACAGTGTTACATGTGAAGGCTCCCAAACTACGATTAATGGGCTTATCTTGTCTTAAGTTAGAATTAAACTGAATACAGAACTACTTCCAAAGGATGACAGTGTAGCATAATTGACAAAGCTGACAAATTATTTGAGATTCGATTAGTTTTATGATAATATCTTAGATTACGAACAAACTTAATACATCTGTGACCGTGATTTCATTTATATAAATGGAAATTCAACGATTCTTGTTGTTTGATCTACGACTTCTACATATTATCGTAGCGAGATAAGAGAAAGAGTTTAAGTGTGATGCTCAGTCGAACAAACAAATTTTTTAAATATATACATATAGGCAATAAAATTAAAATTCATACCTTTCTTTTCATGAGTTTGTTTTTGCGCCTCAACTTAAATCATACTTCTTAGTGATGTCGTTGATGTTTCTAAACAACTTATAATATTTTCTTTACATTTTGCAACATGTCAAAAATTTTCAAATGTAGAAAAAGTATATTCGGAGTCATTAAAAAAACAAAATTCGACAACCGCTTAATATCAGGCGAGTTTCGTCTTCAATCAGCAAGCACTGCGTCTCCGTTAAAATAAAATATGTATTTTTAGACGACGACATTTTTTTTAAACGACCGTGAAACGTGCCCTTGCTTCTTCTAAAAGTATTCAAATCTTCTTGTTATGTTGAGAAATAATAGGGATTGACTAAGTAAACACGAAGTTAATTGCAGTTAGAAATTTTGAGCAAAGCTCTAATAAGAAAATTGCTATTGGCTTGTAATTCTAGTAAACTTTTATACAACTTTAAATTTTAGGAGAATAAAATATGTGCACCGTATTTAATTTAATAGATTGCTTGTTTAATGCGAAGGTTTTTTTTTACGTTCATAAAACCATTTTATATTTGCTATAAATCTTTGGAGTAGTTGATACAATAATTTAAATCTTTATTTATAAGTATGTATTCTCTTTACGCCCGTCTTAAACTAATAGATCTATACAAATGACTATTATTTTTATGACGAAAGAACAATTCCGGTGGTCTTTTTCAGCAGCAATACCAACTTTTATTTGCTTAGGACTTCGTAAAGGCATTTTCTTAAGGTTTTCTCTTTATAATTAGGAAAACATTCGTAGTGAGTTCGCTAAAGATGTTCGAGTACCAAAAATGATTTTATTTTACCGCTGACTTCATGATGAGATAAATGGACATTTATTTAATTATTTGAAGTACAAGTAATATATATCGACGCTTGAAAGGCAAACGTGACTAAGCGACAATGCGTGAACTTTACAGTAGACTAATAATTTAAAATTGAAATACCTGAAAACAAAATTTATTTTAACGAATCCAGCTGTAGTAGAATCTAGCTAGTAGCTGTAGGATTGAAATGATTTTAATAGACCTAGAAATATATTTTGGCACATCGAATATGGTTATTGCCTATCATTTATGTACAAAGCAGTTATTGTCGCTTAGTCACTTTTGCCTTTCAAGCGTCGATATGTACGCGTTACATGTAGATAGTTTTAAAGTGAAACATTTAAGCTTATACCAAAAATAGGATAGACGCTCCTAAGCGTTCCAATGCCACCAGCAGTGACAGCTCTAAAACCAGTGATTATGCACGTGTATAATTTCGAGGGTCCGTTCCTTCTTAGAGATATTTTGCGGACAAAAGACCCCGAAAACAAAAGTAACTAATTAAAATTCACTGAATATTAAACAAGTAATTTACATGAGCTTCAAAGACAAGAGAGTATATTCTACTTTGAATGTGTTTGTATATTTATTTGTTGAAAGAGCGCAGCCATTTTTGTATATTAATTAAGAAGCATAAAAGTATCATCGAATTTTAATTAAAAACTCATCGGTTAAGGACGACCTAAATTTTTATTATATGTTCGGTTTTCATTTATTTTACATATGTTCATATTATAACGGTTGTGCTTAATGTAAAAAATCAAAATGTGTGTTACCTTTTAAAGATGATCGTTTAAGTTTTTAATTAGTTATTCTAGATTGACTAAAGTTCAGAATTAGCTTATAAATATTCAGCAGCTGCTTTTCATACAAGCTCTGCAATTAAAGTTGACAGCTAAATGTAGACCCAAATGAAGATGTTTGCTCGAACTATATTAAAACTTATCGGACCAGACTTTTGAAATGCTGACTGGTAGTTTCGAGTGATTTTACAGTTGTTTAACCTTAAGACGAGTTCAAGTCCATAAATAATGGGTACCTACTTAATAGTAATAGAAAACACATAAAAAAATCGACTAAATTTTTAAATACGCTTTTATTAGCTTCAGACGTATGTATGTAATGGTATCTTTGAACATGATTTTGACCCGCTTGAAAACGTCGGACTAACTCGAAATTTGGTATACTTATTCAGAACCGATGACAATTCAATATTAAAAATAAAAATATTGAAAAAATTGAAATTCAACTACAAAAAAGATAAATCAATAATAGTTTAAAAAAACTAACAAAATACGCTTTTACAGAAAATGAAACTAAACAATAGAAAATTATTTTTAATAAATTTGAATGAAAAATAGTGTAAGTAAAAATGATTTTATTGTAAAAAAAAGCGTGGGGTGCATGGTATAAGCAGTTATAAATATTGTATGAACAGATATGAGTAGAAGGGTTACTTTGATAATATCCTGAAAAGCTCCCCAAGTTTTTTTACAATAAAATCATTTTTTCTTACACTACTTTTAATTCAAATTTATTAAAATTTATTTTCTATTTTTTAGTTGGATTTTCTATAAAAGCGTATTTTGTTAGTTTGTTTTTTTTAATTTATGAAAAGTATAACAACAAAATAGCACGGAGAACGGATACCGCGGGTTCTTAGGTAGTGGATCAACACTGCCTTATAACTTCCGGATAATGCGATGGTTTTCTTGACGTCCCCTGTCCCCTCTACGCGGGAAAGCTCAGGCCGTCGCTTAACATCGCGTGAACAAAAATATTGATAATTTATTAGACGGGTAATACTAAAATTGAGAGTTTTATGTTATTTGTAGAACCCAACTTAAAATATCAGTCTCGGTAGCGACATTCATATTGACGTAGTAAATAGACACTACATCACCTGTTCAGAGCTCTAACAACTGAGAGATCTTGAACATGAAATAAAGAAAACGATGTTTCCTGACATACGTTTTTTTATTTTTTTTTATTGCTTAGACGTGTGGACGAGCTCACAGCCCACCTGGTGTTAAGTGGTTACTGGAGCCCATAGACATCCACAATGTAAATGCGCCACCCACCTTGAGATATATGTTCTAAGGTCTCAGTCAGTTAAAACGGCTGCCCCACCCTTCAAACCGAAACGCATTACTGCCTCACGGCAGAAATAGGCAGGGTGGTGGTACCTACCCGCGCGGACTCACAAGAGGTCCTACCACCAGTAAAAATGATTCATTATATTAATTAACAATTAATTATCAAACAAAACTAACTGAATGACGATTACACGAATTAATTATTCACGAGCCTAGTAGGCTAATTGCCTAAATTTTCGCATCTAGTAAATTCGTTGGTTTGTTTACGTCTATTGATATTGTTTTAGCGTTGCCTCGGTATTATCTAGTTTTCGTTCAGTCTAATCGTGGTCATGAATCATTAGTGTACGTCTTAGCTTTGTTGAATATACCTTATTAACTATTCTATTTCCATTCTATTATATATATATATATATATATTATACCTATATATATATATATGTATATATAGGTATATATATAAATGAATTGCTGTTCGTTACTCTCGCTAAAACTCGAGAACGGCTGGAACGATTTGGCTAATTTTGGTCTTGAATTATTTGTAGAAGTCCAGAGAAGGTTTAAAAGTTAAATAAATATGAAAATGCTCGGAACTAAATAAAAATAACAATTTTGTTTTTCCTTTGATGTGTCCCCCGTCGGACGAATTTCTTTTGTTTGTTTTAAGTTTGTTTTATACAAAAGCTTAGGTCTTTTATTTATCGATTGAGGCACTACGAAGTCTGCCGGGTCAGCTAGTTTATCATATAAATTTATATGACAAAATGATTTTTACCATTTAACCAGTTTATTTTCTTTTTTAATGATTTAATGATTTAATGATTCTCATAATTGTTTGTTGTTTTGGAAAACTAAAGCCACCTCAGTTTGTTAGTAAATTAGTATATTAATAATTAAGCACGATTATTTAGGGTGTTCTATTTTTTTATTTATACAAACAGGTCCACGGTCTACAATTTCCACTACCACTTCTCTATTATTTGTACATTTTACTGTGCAGTTGGGTGAACGAGATATGAACCAACTGATTTCTTTATTAATCAAAATGCTTTCTTATCGGATCCGTGACTCAAAAGCAGCTAACCGCTAAGAGCGACTAAATGCGTTTGGAAAGATCTGATGAAGTATCAGAGTTTAATTAGATACCTGGTTTTTCCTCAGCAACAGTTTCTTCCTCGGCAATGGGTTCATTAGCCTCTTCAATGCAGCTCTGTTCGTCCGGAAACTGAACATGTTTCTTCACAGCTGATCGACTTGGTTTGGACAACACAGACGCTGTTGACAAAAAAAAAGTTTTTAGTCGAATATTTTTCTATTTAATTACATTTTTGACGTGACAACGTCTTATAATTCGATGGAGCCGGCTGCGCGCACGAAAAAACATGACTAATGCGGCGTTACCTCGCTCTGAGGCGATGTAAGCGTTGCATCCGCGTGGACAGCTGCTATACAATAATACATTTACATGTTTTCGTCAAGTATGAAGTTCAGTGAAAAGTGAATGTGATGTCAATTGTTTATAGCAACGATAATTGCGATAATTGAAAAATGATACCATTCCATCAGTATTTTCTTATGACGTTGTCACGTTCAACTATCGTCAGTAAACCGACTTTACAGACAACCGATTTTTTCACACAGTGAATGTATAACTTCACCAACGCCTTGATAGCGTTAGAATCTAAATATCTATTAGTGATGTACGAACCGGTTTGAACTTAATTTCGTCTTTTGTAACAGCTGTTATGCATATAAACGCATATACTCGTATGCATCGCAATCATTCGACGTTGACATAGATAGAAGCCCGCATTCGGATCATTGCTTGCTTTAACTGTAAACGTCATTCAGTGAAGCACGAGGATTTCCTGCTCGGGGTTCGGGTTTTTGTTTTGTTTTTTCTTTTATTTAGTCACCGTACGTACCACGACGTACCGTGATGTAGCTATGTTATGATATGTTTCAGCTGCGAAGCAATCATGCGTTGCAACATCCGCTAAGTAATAGAATTATCGACCTCATGTCTGAAAATTAGTGATGCCATAGTATAGTGTGATATCACTTAAGCGACCTCCAAGACTCAATCATAATTCATGAGTTATCGTTTGAATATTATAGGTAATTTTCCACGTCTTTACGAATCCATCAGATAACCCTTGCATTAGACTCCTTCCGCTCTTAAACTAGGAGTAGAAACCAGCCCGTTGAGTTTCTCGCCGAAGTAGCGGGTCGCGATGTCGATCCGGTAGGACATTCATTCGCGAAGCAACTGCTCTTGAATTGTTAGGTCTTCCTTGGAGACGCTCGGGAAGCTGTTAGCAAATCCCGTCCCTTCTGGCTGAGCCCTTGCTCGCCCACCTGTTCTTGTGAAATTGGAAAGGCCTCCGGGCCACCAGTAAACCCTCAATCATAAAAAAGGTAATTTGAATTACTCATGTTCTGTATCTTAAGATTTCGTAAACAATTTATGACAATAAATGTTATCATATTGTTAACGTAGTTTACTGGCTAGCTTTACGTTGAGCTGTGGAGATTGCAACTATTGTGAGAAGAATGAAAAACAGAAAAAAAAACACCTTTTTTTTATTGCCATTTTAGGCAGATGAGCTTACGGCCCACCTGATGGTTAACTCTTAACGAATTTATTAATACAGAAAATTACCAAAGTTGTACGTATAACTTTACCTAAATCTTCTGTCGAAGAAACATAAGACTAGCGAAAACTTTTAAATTGAGATTCAATAAAGTTTCAACACGAGGAAATTCCATTTGTCGGTCCTTTTTACTTTCTTTCTCGGGTCCCCACCCGACCACTTGTTCAAAATTAAATAATATCTAAATGTTTAATTATCTAAAAGTGAATCTTGTTTAAGTGACAAGTTTGGCATTAATTCGAAGAAAGAAAGGACGATGGAAGTATGAGGTTATTTTAAGTAGGTATCACGGACCGACTTCTGTATTAAAGCAATCAATAATAATACAAAGTCGTATACTGATCTTCTTCTATCACGTTAAATACGTGTGGGTTAAAATGACTTTTTATACAGGCGTTGCTAGAATTTAGTTAGTAGTTAGTAGAATCAGTTCGAAAGTGTAGCAGATTGGTGGCCAATAGAAGCAAACAGAACAGAAATGCTGTGAGTTAGAGCATAAGAGAAGTTTATTCAGGCCAATGGAGATCGTTTTGAATTAATTTTACAGATATCAGAATCTTTAATAATATAATATTAATGCGTAAGCTATGTTTAACATAGCAACACCAAGTATAACATAACATATACGAATATGTGATGAAAGATTCTGTTACGTTTTTTTTCTTATATATTTGCATTATTTTGGCGGTTTGTTGGAAGAAAGCTCCTGGTTGACCATCTTTTTATGTATATTTACATCGGGATCTGTTATCAGAATATTTATAATAAATTAAATTAAATCAACAAATAAAATTTAATAAATTTCATTATTAATATGAAACAATAAGTTCGTGTTATTTTCCGAGTCTGGTCAGTCTAATACTTACCTAGTTTACTATTTACCTGCGCTACAGGAAAAAAAACGTTCTAAGCATTGAATATCTATATATTAATACGTGAAGGAAAATTTTTGTATCCCGTTTTACGAAAATTGCGCGGACGGAGGAGTATGAAATTTTCCACACTTATAGAAAATATAGAGAAAAAGTGCACAATGCTAATTTTTTTTTTAAAATAATGCATAAAAGATACATTAAATCAATTAAGAAAACATTACACACACTACATACCATGTATTTGACGCACACACGCATGCATACTATTTATTGTCAAACTTTTGTTCTTGACGTCTGTTGTCAAATTGAGAATAGATTAAATATTGTTTGTCTTTGTAAATATTTTTTATAGTGTAGTCTTGGCGAAATTTGTGATTATAGAAGTATAAAATACAATCATAATTGTGTACAAACTTACAATTCCAGTTAATTATAGTCGAATTTCGACTACTGCGGGACCTCTAGTAGAATTTTAATATAAGTCCATATTAAGAATCGTCATCACTTCAACAAATAGTCGATTCTCATATCGCTGAGATTTTAAGTTGTCATCGTATATTAGCAACTCGTTTTGTCACATTTTCGTGGACGTACAAGATATCTCGAATGAATTTCAATATGGAAGTTCGAAGGCAACGAACGGAATTCCTATAATATTTCTTTCAATGGGTATCTGAGTTGTGTTTACCTCCTGCATGATTTCTCTAGCAGTTTCCGTTGTTCCAAAGTTAAAAGTAACCACAGAGCACGTCATTAAATTATTTCATAAAATATCTCACTAGCTAGCTATCTAGTTTAATTTTACCGTTACCGATGCAATACTGCGTGCAGTTCAGTTTGATAATCGGCTAATAACATAATCATAGATCACTGACAACCAACGGTGTCAAGCTTTTGTTTTGTCGTCAGGAAGATAAAACTTCAATTTTTCTAGCTATTTCGGTTTGAAGGGTGGGGCAGCCGTCGTTACTATACTTGAGACCTTAGAACTTGTATCTCAAGGTGGATGGCGCATTTACGTTGTGGATGTCTATGGGTTCCAGTAACCACTTAACTTCAGGTGGGCTGTGAGTTCGTCCACCCATCTAAGCAATAAAAAAAAAAACATGTGAGTAAACGTTGTTTTTACTAGTTTTGAGACTTGATACATCACCACGTGAAAGTCACTAGCTACCTTGAGACATTTGTAAAGACGGTTGTCCTATCCTTCAAACTAAACTCACAACTGCTTCCCGGCAGAAATCAATAGAATGATGGTACATAACCGTGTCGAAACTCCAGACGGAAATCAATTTTTGTGGCATTTTTTATAGTACATATACACGTAGCTTTGTGTTCGGTAATATGACACTTTCACGGCTCAACCTCAAAAAAATCTTCCGACAATTATCCAATCTTCAGATACCACAAAAATAAATCTATTATTAATACGCGAAGTAAAAACTTAGTACCCCTTTTTACGAAAATTGTGCAGACGGAGGAGTATCATATTTCCCACACTTTAGAGAATATAGAGAAGGGCAGATGTTAATTTTTTTTTAAATTATACGTAAAAAATACATTAAATCAATAATAAAAACATTACACACACTATCATGTATTTGACCCACACACACACGCATGCATACTATTTCTTTAATGTCAAAATTTTCTTATTGTTTAAAAACTGTGGTCAAATTGAGAATAGATTAAATATTGTTTGTCTTTATTAATACTTGTCTAAAGCGTAGTCTTTGCGAAATCTGTGATTATAGAAGTATATAGTCTTTGTCAATAGAATCATTACGTACAAAATTATAATTTCAATTAATTATAGTTGAATTTCGATTACCGGGGGACCACTAGTTGACATAATTATGTATCCGTTGTTCTTAATTTATAATGGCCCAAATAGCGATAAGCGGACTATATAAAAAAATAAAAGTTTGTACTTCAGTGTAGTTATCAGAATAAATATTGAAAACATCAATTCTACAAGTAATGTTTAGTTCTGTTATAATTTTATTCGTTTTATAAGTACAAGTTTCTGCTTCACAGACTCCTATTGCGAACAGCAAGCACATCAAGAACGATTGACATTAATACGTATTCCTCTTATTCGCTCGATTGAAATGGATTCTTTTTATTTATTTTTTATTGCTTAGATGAATGGACGAGGTCAAAGCCCACCTGTTGTTAAATAGTTAACGGTTAAAGACAGCGTTAACGCCGCCACATATCTTGGGGCATGAGTTCTGAGTCTCAAGTTTTTACAGTACACCGGTTGCCCTACTCTTCAAACCGAGACGCGTTATATACTGTTTCACAGCAGAAATATATGGGGCGGTAGTATCTACATGCGGCGCGGCTTCACAAGACGGCTTACTACCAGTGAAAACTTTTACACTTAAATGTCAGAATTTTAATGTTACTTAAGAATTATTAATACCCACATAAACATTATAATAACAAGAGTCGATCGATGTACAGGCTCAGATTTGATGTCTATTAAATTGAATTGAAATATCATTCGGTATAGCATAATATTATTGGAATATGTTTTATGTATTTGTATGTTTAATTCATGTTTGAACGATACTACAGTTATTTCCTCTGGATTACCTTTGGTGTACCGATAAATAATACTTTAGACATTGAGTCCACCGATGTGTACACAAAAACATTTGTAATAATGTGTGTGTGTGTGTGTGTGTGTGTGTGTGTGTGTGCGTGCGTGCGTGCGTGCGTGCGTGCGTGCGTGCGTGCGTTCGTGCGTGCGTGCGTGCGTGTGCGTGTGTTAATTCCGCAATTTATTACGTTCGACTTCGAAATAGAGAATATTGACAACTAAACGCTTCCCGTTCTAATGTAAGTAACGCAATTTGTCGAATTTCGTACATTTACCTTTAACATTTTCGCGAACAACCTTTTCAACGTTCCGCTGTATATATTTTCAAGAGACCCTTACTACAGTTCTGCATTTAGTTCGATAATCAATCGAAAACGAAAGAATGGAAAGTTTTTAGGAAAAGATTAGTAGATAGTAGTAACTATAATTTTATGTGATAAGTGTATATTTTTCGGTTTTTTTTTTATTAACATTACCATATAAATACTAAGCAAGCATTTGTTAATATTTTGAATGTGTTTTATAAAAATAATTTTAGATTTTTTCTTCTTACATCTTCGATTAATGTTATTGTAATGAAATAATATTTAAACCATTGTCTGGCCAAGCTATTTCACAAATGAATTGAAAAAGAGATAGTTAAAATACCTTAACAAAGGAGGCACATTAAGCAAGTATGATTTGTATTAAAACTTCATTTAAAAATTTCAATGTTCAATTATTTTGAATTTGTGATATGTCAAGTTAAATCAGATAAAACAAAAAACAATTGTGTGCGTCCCTAATAAGAATTGAATTATTGATTTCCCATAAATAATAAAACATGATGACCTAAACGCTATGACGAACGCTGAATTCATAAATAGCCATAAATGAATAACAAATCAAATACAAATTACGTTCGAGACAGCACGGATACATCTCGAAGTCTGTTGTCAATTTCAGATGAAACTGCTAAGAAATTTTCCGTCCGTGACAACTCGTCATAGAGGTGCCTTTTGTAAATAAATCACAAAGGACCCAAAGGTCGTTAGTTACCAATTAACTTTGATTGCTGTTTCATTGTCTCTCATATTCAATATTAGTGCAGAATAAATGGGTTAGAACTGATTGAGCGTGGAAAGGATGAGTGACGAGCATCACTTGTGTTTGCTTTCATTTAAGGCGTGACGTAGGATCCCCTCGAATTGTTTATTTCACGAGCCAAGGTTTATTGAATTAAGATAAAACGACACTCGCTTCCGAAGGTTATTATGTGCTGCATTATAATAGTATTATGTACATACATACAATCGGTGTTAAATTTTCTCTATATGGTTGAAAAATTTTATTATTTACCGCAGTCATCCGAAGTTAGTTGTGAGTGCTTATGAGTCATAAACAGCCAGGTGCTATCGTTTCGAAAAGTACGATAACCGTATGTAATTCTATTGCAGCTGAAACACCAACCTCACGCCTCAATGCGGATTGCACTAAATAATATTTAAATAAAATTTACCACGCGTTGTCTATGAACTTTGTAGGCAGCGGCTTAGCTCTACCCCCGGCGTTGCTGACGTCCATGGACGACGGTAACCAATCACCATGCTTGGGAGCTTTTCAGGATATTATCAAAATTACCCTTCTACTCATATCTATTCATAAAATATTTATAACTGCTGATACCATGCACCCCACACTTTTTTTTTCAATAAAATCATTTTTTCTTACACTATTTTTAATTCAAATTTATTAAAATGTATTTTCTATTTTTTTGTTGGATTTTCTATAAAAGCGTATTTTTTTAGTTTTTTTTAAAACTATTATTTATTTTTCATTTTAAATATTGAATTGTCATCGTTCCTTGATAAGTATGCCAAATTTCGAGTTAATCCAAAGTTTTGAAGGGGATCAAAATCATGTTCAAAGATTCCGTTATATACCAACATACATACGTCTCAAGCTAATAAAAGCGTATTAAAAAAAGAACTCCACACGCATAGCACCAGACGGGCATCTCTATAAATAGCTCGAGCCTTCCAAATACCGAATTCGTTCGCAAAAGTTTTATATCCAGTGTAAAAGAGGTTAGCGTATCATCAGCGGGACGAGGTTGGCGTGTTGATTAATAATCCTTCGCTCTTTGAGCTCGAAACTCAAACAAGCGCCGGGGTTTTTGCGTTCCACCCTGTTCATTATACCCTTATTTATTAATGAAAGTTTTTGCACGGACTCGGTGAATAGCTACCGTGAAACGTAATCGAGCGTGAACAAATGAATAAGAAATGAAATTATAATTATGTATTGACATTAGTGATTAGTATATTCAACGTAAATTTTATCAGCGACGGCTCCTCTATTAAATTTAAGGCCCTTGGTTAATTGTTAATATTAAATATATTATTATTATTATTTATACTTTACTTCAGTTTTTTTTAAACCGTAACATTTTGTTAGTAAGAACTTATAAACTAGGTTAGTAACTTAAAAAAAAAACTAACTAACATACATTTTATATCATTACATTTGATTTTTTTTCCTTCCAAGTGCCTGCTGCAAAGGCTATTTATTAATCAGCATTCGCTCGATCTTGCTCGATATGATTTTCAGAAGACTGTTGCCACTGTCTCTGACTCGACCCAATAACGATATAATATAATATGATTAGTTAGTTTATGGAGTTCCTTTTTATTAACATGTTGACTGCCGTGTAGGTCACCGGTGACCGACATGGCGCACTGAATTAATTATGTCGATTTCTTTTCCTAAGCGCCTAGATTGCCTAACTTTGCCTTTTGTTTTTTAATGTATGTTTTAGTATTTCAAGTCTCTTAGAAATCTATTTATTCCCAGTACCTTCGGATTCGTCTTTCGTAGAATCTACTAGATATTCCGTCGGCTTAGCATAAAGATCGAAAAGAGAAATCGAAATAATTACTTCAGCGCGCCACGTAGCGCATCGGTCACCTACACGGCAGTCAACGTTTTAAAACACATTAATCTAATAAAGGATATTGTTAGTATAGTAGTGAATGTTTACATCAAACTTTCAAACAGTGCTCGGTCTGTTTAATATAAAATTAAAACGTTTAAAATTAATTATCTCTAAACAGATTAAAATTTTGCTTTCATTGACCGTGCGTATGATTAGCTTTAGTGTGAGCAAGTTTAAACATTGTTCAACGAAAGTTATAAAATCGTTGATACGTTAATGAGCACACGGGTATATCTATAGCATACTAATTGTTATCAGTTATTGACCTGGAACAACTAAATAACTATACCAATACCGGATGGATAAATTGCTGAAATCCGGGAAACGAAGGCAAAAATTTTTGGAACGAAGTTCCTTATGGGACGATGCGGAGGGGTACCCTAACCGGAAAAAACGTCCGTAACGTAAGATTTTTATTAGTAATGCACACAGTGTACGACTTAACTTTGTAATAACGTACAAAAAATTACATTTTTTTTTATTATATATATTTCTTATAAATCATTGTGAATAAAATAAAGTTGATAACTTTGTAAAGTTGTTTTTTTTATTTTTATTAATAAAAAAATCATAATAATAAATGTATACCCGAATAATTATTTTCTTTATACCTCGATCATTACTTTATACCCACGACACCACACATATTATATATTTTTTTGTTTGCACTTACTTATGGTTTTAGTGGGAGCCTCGGAGAATTCTTCAGGGTCACATCGGCTTGGGGTAGGTCTTCCGGCGGAGCGTCGACGGCCACTAGGCGCGGAGCTGGTGGTCGTTGTTTGCTGATTGGTGGCCGTGTACTGCACGGTAGCCATCTGTATAATAATAAATTTTGTTTTTTTTTTTCAAATTTTCTCATCTTTTTTTTCCTACTTAAGCTGAGAGCCTTCAGAGGCTATTTTGGCGTAACCTTAACTAGTAGGTGAGCTTACGGGGCTCAAACCTAACGGCGTTTCTAACACGAACCCTAGCAAGGGCCGTGCTTCGCAGAATCTACCACCGGATCGGAAACGCGACCCACTAAGAAGATCCGGTGAGAAACTCAGTGGGCTGTGTCTGAGGGTTAAATTTCTCATCGGTCGTTGATTATGATTTCAAGAAGAAACTAAGCTGTTTATACAATATGTAAGTTTTTGTGCTCACTTTCACTTACTAGCATAAACTGTAAATTCGAGATGTTTGACTCGGTATTTCAGAAACATCGCAGTATCATAGTAAGGTACAGTATCAAAGGCGACTAAAGGATTTATCGGAAAATAGGTAGCAGGGTTCTCTAAGTATTACACTGCGTACTGCGATCGCCGGCTAGGATTTACTGGTGGTAGAGCCGGTTTTAAGCCCACCCAAATAGGCACCAAGCTCTTGCTTATTTCTGCCTTGAGCGGTTACGCGTTTCGGTTTGAAGAGTGCATCACCCATATAGAATTCAAACTTCGAGTTCATGTCTTAAGTTGGGTAGCGACGTTCACACTTGGTGGTCGTGAGCACTCGTCCATATAAGTCACAAAAATAAATTTTAGATAATTCAAATAACGAACCAAGTCTAGTGACTAAGAAACTGATTTTTTTTATTACCTCAAATCACTACATAGTATAAAACAAAGTCGCTTTCTCTGTCCCTATATCTGTCTGTCCCTATGTATGCTTAAATCTTTAAAACTACGCAACAGATTTTGATGCGGTTTTTTTAATAGATAGAGTGATTGAAGAGGACGGTTTATATGTATCATATCATCCATTAAATAGTGGAGAAATCAATAATAAACTACAGTTTCCGAAGCGAAGCGAGGGCGGGTCGCTAGTAAATTATAAATAAATTAAACACCCGAAGAAAGTTCAAATTATGTTAAAATGTTAAAGTTAAATGAAAACATTGAAATATGCAACAGTAAATATGACTAGTCAAAGTTTTCTAGTTATCTAGTTTTAACTAAGAAAAACTTTGTTAGAACAAAATGTATTTATTCTAATTCACGAACATTATGTGTGACGCCAATATACTCTGACTGTTCAATGATTTACCTCAACAAATGTCGCGTAATATGCGATCTTCAGGGAATGCAATGTGCTCATTCTACACACAAATGTAACAAGCTCAAGTACCAGCTTATTGAAGTTCGCTCAATATTGAATTTGTGACAAATGTGATATTTCGAAATTTAATATCATTCAGAAATATGAAATATCAAGAAATTCCATTTACTTCTTGTTCATCACAATGGAGTTGTTTCCTTCATAAATACTTAGTATATTTCAACTGAACTGCAATTTATAATAGAGTTGATATTGTCTTTTTTTCTTGCATTATTTTTGCATTTCCGTTAAAAATTATTCCAAGTAAATGTGATTTAAAAAAAAATACATTCTTGCCTAAAATCGAAAAACAAGTCAACAACTTCCTCGTTAGAGACAGCCAACGATCTTGAATTCTTATTGAAAAATCATCTTAGCTGATCAGCGTATCTTGAAGCGAATACTCCCATTGTAATTTATTTGAATAAATAAATATTATGGGCATCGTAGGATAATAATCGTAGCATATTTTAAAATATTTCACACATTATAGGAAAAACAAAATTGTAATTTTTATTTAATTCCGAGCATTCTCATAATTATCTACCTTTTAAGCCTTCTCTGGACTTCCACAAATAATTCAAGATCAAAATTAACCAAATCGGTCCAGCCGTTCTCGAGTTTTAGCGAGACTAACGAACAGCAATTCATTTTTATATATGTATATATATATATAGATTACATCACGTAAATATTATATACAAACACTATGTGCATTACGCATTAACATTACATTTATCAATTTTGTGGTATTATTATTATTAAACAATACATTTTCTTATCGTAGATTTTTACAGATGTAAATTAACCTAACGCTTTCCCAAACATACCATGAACGTGTCAAAACTATTATAAAAGACATCTCAGCTAAACATCAGCACTATACATGAAGGAAACTTAGCGAACACCGTGGTTTCAACTACATTATACTTATTGTATTTGGAATTGATTAGCACTAATTATGAAAAGCAGAATGTTTAAATCCTAAAACTTTAGCAACCGGTTTTATAGGGTGACGTGATAAACTAATAATTAAATTAAGCTCAAACATAAAAACAAAACAATAATAGTCGTTCGAGTTCAGCTACATTCGAAAACAAAATGACTTCTGTTGCATTTTATAAAGACGCACGTAGCGTTTACTTGTATTTATCAGAGTTACGTGTGAATTTACTTGATTGCTATGGAAATCGAATTGGTCCATTTCGGTTTGCTTCGGGCGTAGTTTTCACACTTTGCCGGTTTCTCTCGCTGTACGAGTGTAGTATGTACGTATCAACGCGTCGGGATATTGATTAACAGAACCGCGCTGATCAATTTCTGTTCGCAGCAATTTGTGATCCTGTTTCATGAAGCGTCAGTATTTACTATTTTTTTATTTATTGCTTAGATCGGTGGATGAGCTCACAGCCCACCTGGTGTTAAGTGGTTACTGGAGCCCATAGACATCTACAACGTAAATGCGCCACCCACCTTGTGATAAGGTCTCAGTATAGTTACAACGGCTGCCCCGCCCTTCAAACCGAAACGCATTACCTACTGCTTCACGGCAGAAATAGGCAGTGTGGTGGTACCTACACGCGCGGACTCACAAGAGGTCCTACCACCAGTAAGAACATAATAATACTATGACCATCGCTGAACACGAAACGCATCGATTTCTTTAAACGACCCGCTCGGCGCTTTTTGTGCATTAATGGCATCGTTATAGTATTAATGTCATACAAAATCTGACCATGAATAGTACAATACCTACTGTTATAATTAAAAACCATAATTGTACACTTGAATAATAATTTGGATCTTGGCATTTTCAGATGAGAATTGTGTTCTCCCTTTACCTCTGATCTTTGTTGAGCGTACTCGTGATATCAAAATGGAGTGCGGAGTGGAAAGCTGTAGCAATATATATTGATAGTATTGCATGTATTAAATGTGAAGCCAACAATTTATGAAATTCCATCCGCTCGGTGTCAGCGGAATGTTTGTGTAACCGCCTCCGAAAAACTTCACAGTTTAAAATGCTGTACTATCAATACATATATGAAGTATCACACAGCATAGTAATAAATATCTCATGTAATAGAAAAAAAAAACAATGTTTACAGTTTTTAATGATATTTATGACAAGATCACGTATACTGACGTGCTTGTGCAGCTTTAGAAAATTTTAACCTAATGAGATAAAAGACGCGCGAACGCATAAAACCTAAGCAAGCAAACCTAAAACACTATTATAATTGGTAAGTGTTTAAAAATATAATATAGAATTTTTAGCATATAATCTTAAACTTTTTGGAATGGTATTGTTATAAAACAAATTTAAAATACAAAGTATAAATTATCATAACAAATTTATTAAAATCCGAAATTCTTACCCTGTCGTTATAGTCGTAGGTAGCGGTGCCTCTTCCCTCGAGGTACTCTTGAAATTGCGAAATGACACAAACCATGGCGTACAGCTGAAACAAAAAGTATCATTAGAAGTTGAAATAATTATTTCGCTCTAGTGTCGAATACAACGTTTTTTTTTTCCGAAATAAAAAGTTATTTTACACAATCAAAACCCTTTAAATTATACAACAATGAAAGTTAGAGAGTGTCGCGCCCTCATTTCCATAATACACGTCGCCCCACCCTTCAAATAGCTCGGGTTCTACCTATCTACCTGTTATATAAATATATAAATTTAAGATTCGTCGATTATTAAATAAACGCGAATACGTAGCGCTGTTGTTATCCCTCATTGTCAGTAGGGCTGTGACACGTCCAAAATAAAGACCTAAAAATAGTAAGCCTAAGACGGAAACGATCGTCGTCAATCCCGCCACAGAACCCTGACCTAGCTCCAACGAATTACGTAAAGATCAAACACATTCTTTGAAGTCGTTCCATATCATATTTGTACCCAATTTCACGCTTGTTTGGGTTTCCGCCCCGTCATTAATTATGTGTCTGTAACTTATACATAATTTAGCATTTCGTCGAAAGGACGAACCAAGGATGAAATGGGGTATTTAACCAAATTAGTAAGATGAATAGGCTTTTTGTCAAGAACACTGAATAATATCTTTACTCGGATTATGGACGATCTTCACTATGATAAATGACTAGAGTATTATCATTCGTATAATTGAGAAGCATTGTTTTGTATTTGTAATTCAGTTAATTCTAATTTAATAAGAGGGAATTTAGAATTTAGCATTATTATTGGCCTAAGTGTAGCCAATGCATGTAAGCCAACATGAAATCTTAAAATTTAAAAACTTAAAACTATATATTTCTCGACATTAGAGGTCGGATAATCATGATATATGAGACCATTTTATTATAGATTGTTTTTTTTTCAAAATTATGTCGAGTCGACGCTATAGTCTAGAAGAGATTCCGTGATTTGTTTTTTTTTATACTTACGCTTCTTCTATAGTAAAATGCACATCCACGTATCGCATCTTGGGTATAAATCAAATCAATATCTCCAGGTTTAAACAAAGAAAGGTGAAATTTAGTTTTCATTTTATTTCCGTCTACAAAGATACTTAAGGATCAACGAAAAGGTTATACATGTATATTATGTATACAATATTGTATCGGCAAAGTAAAGGTTTCGCTATCCGATGAACCGACCCACCATCTAAGATTCTTTCACCTTGGAGCGCTCCCTAAATAAAATTTCATATTTTTCCTCAATGAATATTCAATTGTGTGTGAAGGGGTTTTTTGGGTATTTATTTCAAAGTATGCGAAGGTTAATTATGTTTATCCGCTCGGTATTGTATGGATTCCTAGGATTTGAATTGATTAATCTGAATTGTAGAAATGCTTATCTGTGATCCATTGAGCGCTTCAAGATTGATGTTGGCTTATAAAATGAAATGAAAAAACTTTAAGCAAACATCAGTTCTACATCCATTTTATAGGTACCTACAGTGTTAGCTTTAGGTATACATAACTTCACAAATCTCTAAAATAAAAGCTGGCAGGCGAAAAAGTGAGAATATTAAATAATTTTAAATTAAAAACGCGTTTGCCACAAACAAAATATGTACTTTAAATTTTGAAACAGCGCGACGAGAAAAGATGTGATTAAAATGCGTTATATAATTTTGTAGACTTACGCCTTACTGTGCTCTAAAATGTAGGTGGTAGTAGATAAACTACCTGTGAAAGTATTTTGAAATTACAGCTTCCAGCTATCCACAAAATTCGTAAACGCTATTAGAAAAAAAAACATCGTCTGGCGGTATAGGTAAATATGTACTGATCGTGTGTTTTCGAAAGACTTCTATGATGAAGAGATAATTTCTTCGTATAATATTTGAAGTCGTCGTGGCCTAAAGGATAAGACGTCCGGTGCATTCGTATGAAGCGATGCACCAGTGTTCGAATCCCGCAGGCGGGTACCAATTTTTCTAATGAAATACGTACTCAACAAATGTTCACGATTGACTTCCACGGTGAAGGAATAACATCGTGTAATAAAAATCAAACCCGAAAAATTCTAATTTGCGTAATCACTGGTGGTAGGACCTCTTGTGAGTCCGCACGGGTAGGTACCACCACCCCGCCTATTTCCGCCGTGAAGCAGTAATGCGTTTCGGTTCGAAGGGTGGGGTAGCCGTTGAAACTATACTGAGACCTTAGAACTTATATCTCGAGGTGGGTGGCGCATTTACGTTGTAGATGTCTACGGGCTCCAGTAACCACTTAACATCAGGTGGGCTGTGAGCTCGTCCATCCATCTAAGCAATAAAAAAAATATATATATAAATTTGCAAAGTTTTATGTTTGCGTAAATCTATATGGCTCCAAACCCATTCTGCCTATTTTATATCTCAATACAGTCATCTGTTCCTTTTTGAGGTATCTGTTATTCAATTTGACTGAAATGTTCGACCTTATGTCTCAATTTAGGTCATAGCATTCACGTCATGATGTCTACGAAATTCTATTAAGTACTTAATTCTAGATAAAAAAAGATCATCTCATTCAAACCCCAATACTATCGTGCTTAGACTTTGTATAGGATTACTTGTGGTAATTAAGTGAATTTAAATGAATCTTATTTTTCACCTTACCACTAGTAATTAAGTTGAATGAATTTAAAACACGACATATTATTCACGAGCAACGGACAGGTAAATAATTGCTTCGAAAAATTAATGGGTTCTCTCGAATAGAGCTACGGAATTAGTATTTCGCTTGCTTCACGGGAATGGAAGTTTTTAATGATAGTTCTTGTTTTTACTACTAGCTAAAATACTGTACTGTAGATACGTGCTCGATTCTTCATCAAATTAGTGTCTTTGTTACAGACATTTTACGGTAGATATGTTCTTTTTTTTAAGAAAGATGAACGAGCCAAGCCATCTGCTATTAAGTGGTTTCCGAAACCGATAGGTAGCGTGCTTCCAGCCACCTTCGATTGTATGGGATATAAGTTGTCTTACTCTTCAAATCGAAAGCATAAGTTCCTTGAAGCAAAAATATTCAGGACTTTGGTATCCATCTGTGCGGATTTACAGGATCCATACTATCAAAAAATGCAAAATGGTGATCGCAGTATACCGGGACAAAACTGCTGCTGCATGGCCATTCTCCTGTGAATTATTTAGTTGCCTTTTATGACTTCTACGGGATTGATTGGGGTGGTGCCATTCTAGGCCTTCACGCACTTTATTTCCATCATACAAGAGAAAATCATTTTGCTCATGGAGCACATATTTTTAACTTTAAGTTTATTTAGCTGTCACCATTTTAAAAGCGTACAGCTACGTTGTACAAAAGTAATTTCATAGTAGACGTCTAAGTCAATAATTTTTTAAATTAATCTTTCATCAAGAAAAATATACTTCCTTTAAATTAACTTTATGTTCCCTTTTGATGTCGTCCGCTACCAATATTACTGAAGTTGATCGGATTATTACTTTTTAAACTGGTTATCTGGAATATCGCAATTGGTTTCTTATTTCTAAAAATGCGATTTATTTACTTACCTGCATGAAATTTTCTTGGAACTAATGGATTGATCGACCGTCGTTTGCGTTACAGTCGTCAGTATGAAGCAATGTTTTTAACGATTAATGAGTTTACTTTCTTACTGATGGACTTATGTAAGAACTCTAGTAGCTGTCATGATGCCTCCTACCACAAAGTATATATGGGCGCAAACGTTACTGTTAGCAATAATTAACATAATAATATATAGTTTAGTTTATTATATGTTATTGTTTATTTATTATTAGCAAGATGAAACTGTTATTCTACCATATTTAATAAAAAAAATTAGCAGACGCTGTTTTTATGTGAAAATGTTCGGAATACGTTTAATGTTTATATTATTGTTTAAAAACACAAATGACTGTGTAAATAATTAAATATGAATAAAACACAAATATTAATAATAATTTATATTATAATTAACAGTAATAATTTAATTAAGTATTGTAATTGTTATGCAATGATGTTGTTGGCGTCATCTATCATTAGGCTGGATAATAACAATGTTAGTTTATATTAGTTAAAAGTAATTTATGTAAAATAAATTAATGTCAGAGTCATGTAAAAATAACTAAAATATGTATTGTGAATATTAAGCCAACACAAAATGGCTAATTGTGTAAGAACCAAGACGTAGCTTTTTGTAATAAAATAGTAATATTAAAGTTTTATAGAATTGTATTGTATTTTGATTGTGAAAGACCTTATGTGTGTATACCCTGGCGTAACGCCGACATATACGTGTTTTTCGTTGTATAGATTGGCACATTTATTTTCACAGTAAAAAAATGACTTTAATCTCAAGCCTCCATGTTACTATTGCACGTTAAGGTGTCTACAGTAATAAATTAAAAAATGAGGTAATAAACGAAATGTGTGGGAAACCAATTTTTAAAATTGTTCGCGTGAGGAGGGTTTGGAGTGTTGGGGCAGGGCGGTCGCCCACATGCGAGGTGCGTAAATGACCCGGGTAGTCCGATGATAGGTTCCGTAACAGAAAAAATAGAATACGTTTCTTGTGGAATAACATATTTAGGACAGATTCATCCCTTTGGAGTCTTTGAGACTGATTTTCACTTCATCGAAAACTAAAATCGATATAGCACTATTAAAATATAAAAAAATTTTTTCATTGGCGTAGATAGCCTTACTAATCACACATTAAATGGGTTTTGAAGTTCTATGTAGGTGTTTCTACTATATTTATATATATTAGTTCATATTATTTATTAATTTACATTGTACACCTACGCAATATTTAATATTATATCATATTTAATTACGTATTCTATAACACACTCTCATACAGTACACAAATACGCTAAACAATCATACATTCACAACACTACTCAAAATTATATTATTTACACCAGCATAGTCGGGCGCAACCGCTAGTATGCGGCAAAGACCCCGACTATGTATAACTGCGTACGTACTGGTCGTCGCCTGCGCCACGACTCGG